AGAACCTTCCTAGAATCCAGCTATGTCTTTCAGATATATACTCCAGTCACAAGCATCAGCCTCTTGGCAGATACTTAACTGAACTGATCCTTCCTTTTGTGCTTCCCCGTATTTTCACTTTTGCTGCTGCTTTCATTAGCTCATCATTACATGCTCTGGGCTAGGAAGGAGAGATGAGTTTCATTTTTGCATTATTTTTCCTGCTATAAGCATGTTCTGCCTGTGTAATATTTTTATACAAAGTTTGAGGAACCAGCAGTAAAATTATGTCTGAAAAGTTGGGAGACATGCTTCTCCTTCTCTCTCACTTTTACTGTTTTTTAGTAAAAATAATGTAAAGTAGTATGTTTCCATGTAAAACTTCTAGTAGTCCCAGTCTCTGTCCTTGTCGGTACGACCCCCTTTCCAGTACCTTTCTCCCATCTCTATGACCTTACTGAGGTAGGACCATTAAAAGAGAAGTGACATGTAGAAATCAACCGCTCTTCTGAGATGCCCAGAGAACAAACAGCACTGAGGAAATCAAGGTTAGAGGCGTGTGCACTAATAGCATGGATACGTCAATGCTTCTATTACGGAAGTTGCTGATTTTCCATCAGGGCTGACTCCTACAGCAGATGTGCTTCAAGTGCCACTTCACACCATTTTTCTCCACTACCTTGTGACTGCATACGCCTCGCATCCAGCCTGGAGATGTTTCTGGCCTTGGCCATTTCTCCAGTGGTTTGGTGGAGAGTTCTGCAAAACCACCTAGTCTCCATAGGAAGTGAATCCATATGAGCAGGGAGAATGACTATTTCTAACTGTCCATTATTCTTAACCTATCCATTATAAATGATGTGGTGATGTGAGAAGCTATGGTAACGTTTGTTCAATTATTCCAATAACAGAAGGGAAATAAAATAAAATTCACAGAATCTCGCAGGTTGTCATAACAATTTGGCATTCTGTTATTATAGGTTCACCTCCAAAACAGTAGAAAGTGCATTTATTACTTATCAATGTTTGTTTTACTGGGGTTAAAATTGGTGGTACATTTCAAAAAATGTATATGTTTAAGCCTTTGAGTAAAGCTTCAAGGTACCAATCCTTTGTATTCATGAATAGCAATTATATGGATACTTCCCGGAGTGTTCTTAAAAATTAACTGCAGCAAAATATGTTCTTCACTCCATTTTAAATTACTCAAAATGCATGTAATGCCAATCTTATAAAAATCCAAATGGTCAAGGTGCTTTCTAAAATTCTTACGTAGTAGCATATAAATCTAAAACCTTTGGAAGAATAGCTGCAACAGAGCATACAGAACAACAATCAGACAAA